AGCATTAAAGAACTAAAGGAAAGTTGTGTGTTTTCTTGGTGCTATACTGCACTCTGACTGACTCCTCCCTTCCTTGTGACCTTTCTGTGAGGGGATGTCCAATTATCTACAGATGGGCTTTGAGTTTCCACTCCAACCCCACTCATTCAAATTGGTATGATTGTTTTGGATCTTCTGATGCCTGATACCTGATCCCATCAACACCTCATGATCACACAGACTGCTGTGCTTCTTCCATGTTGGCTTTGGTGCTTCCCTCCTAGATGGCCACTTGTTTAACTTCAAACCTTTACGATCCAAATGCTATATCTTTTAATAGCTGGGCGCCATCCACTTTCTTCACCACATCTGCTTATGCACCCATTTTGACTTCATTGATCATGTCTGGAAGGTGAGCATCACAGAATGCCAGGTTATTAGAACAAAGTGTTCTTGCTGAGGCCCAGGGTCCATTTACTACCTTAATGTGTAACATATAAATATATATACATAGGCCTATATCCCTATCATTATATATAAATATATTTGAATATGTACAGGCCTATATTTATACCTCTTTAAATGTCTGTTGCCTCCTAGTTTTTTCCTCTATGTCCTTTTACTTTCCTCCTGTCCCACTATTATGTTAGACTTTCATTCGGCTCTCATTAATTCCTCTTGGCTACATTGCTCTTGTTCTAGCCCTATCAGGCATTCTACCCCTCCTCACCACCAATTTTACATCTCTTGTTCCCATGTCCCAGGGTTTATAGGCTCCCTCTTCTCTTTCTCCCACTCCCCTGTCCCCCGAGAACCATCAGTCCCATTGTTTTCTCCTCAGGATTGTTTGTCTTGCCTATCTGATATAGATAGACAACCTGCACTAATCTTTATATATGAGGTAGCCTCTTTTATTTCCAATGTGGCAAATGATAAACAAAGGGTTAAGGAAGTTGGCCAAGGTCAGATAGCTAGAAAATGGCAAAGTCACAATGAAACAAAATGAGCCTGAGTTCTTAACCATTACAGGATTGTGTACAGAAAGGCATGTGCAAAGGCCCAGAGGTGGAAGAGCAAATGAACAGGGCATTCTGGGTGAGATGAGAGTAGCTATAAATAGATAGAGGAGCCAGAAAAGAAGTCAAAAATAGAAAACAGGCCAGATTATGAAGGATCTGGGTCCACTACTAAAGTTTATAACTAATCCTGAAAAGTATTGAGAGTCATAAACGGCTTTATACTCATGATCAGATCTTCATCTTAAGAAGATGACTGATTATAAAGTAGATGACGGAAGAGGGTAAGAATGAGTGCAGGATGAGTTAAGGGGAGAGAGCAGGGAGACTACATGTTGTAGCTTCAAGTATGAGGTGGTGAGGGACCCATTAAAGGGAGCAGGGCAGAACTTAGAATAAACAAAATGCAAAAACAAAAAAGAAAGAAAGAAAAGAAAAAGAAAATGCTACAGGAGCTATTTAGCTCGTGAAATTTACAGGACGAGGAGGGAAGCTGGGTGGATGTTATAGCTGATCCAAAAGGTAAGGGAAGAAAAATGATTCCCAGGTTCAGATTAGGTAGATATCTGTATCAACTAAAAAAAAGGAATATAAAAAGAAGAATTGGTTTAGGAAATAGAGAGTTCAGAGTCCAAACTATCATCATAGTATGGAAGTATCATCATTGAGGTATTTCTTCAAATTATCTCCTGATGCTACCCCAAAACTTAGTTATTTAACAAAACAATTTATGAGTATTGCTTAAGATTCTTTGAATTGATTGGGATTCAGGAAGCCATTGTTGTTTGCCATCTCTCATACAGTTGCTGTCGAACATCAGCTGGAACTGTGATCCTGTGAAGATGGCTCAAATGGGCTGCTTGTTCGAGAGGGCTCACTCCATGAGTGGCACTTGATGCTGAGCATTTGAGAGAAGTTCAGATGGGTTTGCCCACTGACACATGGTCTCTCTTTGGGGCTTGAGCTTCACACAGTAGGATAGCAGCATTACAAGACAGAATCCCAAAGCATTTCAAGAAGTCCTGGCAGGAGCTGCAAAGTTAATAATGGCCTAGTCTTAAAAATGACATAGCATTATTTCTATGATTACCAACAAAAAATTCCCTGGACCAGTTGGCTTCCCTGGAGAAGTCTACCAAACATTCAGGGAAGAACTAACTCTAATCCTATACATACACTTCCAGAACATAGAAAAAGTCAGCAAACTCCCAAACTCCTTCTATGAAGCTAGTATAACCCTGATACCAAAACCAGGCAAGGATCCCACAAGAATCGAGAACTATAGACCAATATCCCTAATCAACATTGATGCAAAAATCCTTAGCTAAATACTATCCAACAGAATACAAAAGTATATAAAACAAATAATTCACCATGACCAAGTGGGATTCACACCAGGGATGCAGGGATGGTTCAACATACAAAAGACCATTAGTATTATTCGTCACATTGACATGAAAAACTATAAAACCATATGATAATATCGATAGATGCAGAAAAAGCATTCGACAACATCTAACACCAATTCCTGTTTAAGACACTTGAGAAGATAGGAATGGAAGGAAAGTTCCTCAAGACAATACAGCTATATATGAATAACCGACAGCCAACATCGTAGTCAATGGAGAAAAGACTAACACAATCCCACTGAAAAAGGGGACCAGACAAGGATGCCCCTTGTCCCCACTCTTATTTAATATCATGCTGGAGGTTTTAGCTAACAGCATAAGGCAAAGAAAAGGCAAATCAAAAGTATTCATCTGGTGAAGGAAGAGGTGAAACTATCGTTATTTGCCACAGTTGTCAAAACCGCATGGTATTGGTACAATGACAGATACTCAGACCAATGGAAAAGAACTGAAAACCCAGGAATAAAATCATCAGCATACAGACAACTGATCTTTGATAAGGGCCAAAAAAATATCCAATGGGAAGCAGATGCCCTCTTTAACAAGTAGTGCTGTAAAAAAATGGTTATTAATTTGCAGAAAAATGAAGCAAGACCCTTATCTCACTCAATGCACAAGAATAAACTCAAGGTGGATCACAGACCTTGAAGTTATTTATTAGGGCCATCAATGAGTGAAATTGGGACCAACTTGATAACTTTGGCACAGGGAATACATAGGCCATCAGAAATAGGGAAGGACGCAAACACAGAGGAGGCACAAATTGACAAATGGGATATACTGAAGATAAAACACCTGTGTACATCGAAAGAATTCACCA